GGGGGGGGGGGGCGTCAGCCACACTCAGCCCTCGGCCGGGTATCTGGCAGGTGGAGCCCAGAGCCCACATCCCGTCACACTCGTTTTTATTATTCTCTCACTTATTAACGCCCCTGAAGTAAGAACGTCCGTCCACGGTTTTTCGTCAGGAAGAATTTTCTAATGAAAAACGCCCTGCTTTCCTGTCGGCGTTCTCAATCTAACACAAAGCAGCTGCAATTACAATTTACGAGGCAGGGAGCGGCGATATCTGTGAGTCTACTAGCCGTCTGTTTCCAAGCGCTCGGCTTTGGCGATGCAGAGAGCCGGGAGCAGGGGCGTGCGCCCGAAGGACGCGGCGGGAGCCCTCAGGCAAGAGCGAGCGTGGTGCTGACGACAAGAGGTCTGGGCACACATCAGCCTACTCGCTAGGGGCCATCGGCCGGACACGAAGACGGGAGGGAAGCACGTCTGTGTGACCCCAGAGGTGCGGGGACCCCGCCACGTGGCACCCACGTGCAGCAAGGCCCCAGGACTCACCTGGCGGCAGAGCCTTGTGCAGCACGTGCGTCTTGCGCAGGTTCATCGTGCAGCCGGCAGGGCCCATGAGGTGAGCCTTCCACGCCTGAAACAAAAGAGGAGGCACACGCTGCGTCAACCAGGCGACCGAGAGGGAGCAGACGAGCTGAGCTCCTGTCAGACCTGAAACCAGAGGCGGCCGCAGCTCCCCACGTGGCCGCACCTCACATCCTGACGCGGCACGCGGAGCCCCTCGGTCCTCGTCACCTCCGAGCACAGCGCGCTCGGACTGTTGTCACATAAGCACGTGCACGTGAGTGGATTCGGGGAGTACACGGGGCAGGGTGACCTCCAGGAGCGGGGAGTGGCCCCTGGCTGCCAGCCGGCAGAAAACAGGGACCCCAGTCCTGTAGTGACAGAATTCTGCCAGCACTGGGGGAGCCTGCAGACCACAGCCGAGCCCACGGATGAGAACGCGGCCCAGTCTACGTGTCGCTGCAGCCTGGTGACTCCTGGAGCAGAGGACCCGTTCAGTTGTGCCCACGACTCCTGCCCCACAGAAACTGACATCATAGAAGGATGTTTGAGCCGCCAAGCGTGTGGTGACTGGCTGCAGGCATGGACCACTGAACCGAGAACAAGCAGAGAAGTCCGAGAGGCCTGCTGGCGGCCTTGGAGCCGCGAGCTGTCGGACGCCGGGGGACACAGCTGCCAGGAGGAGAGGGGCTGAGGTCTGCATCGCACGGAGCAGGAGATGACGGCAGCCACACAGGGACCGGGTGTCCCGTGACAGCTAGTGTCGCGGTAGAAATCCGACCCCGGACACAAAGCCTGAGTTTCACATGCGAACGGAGAGAAGGCGTGTGCACGTGAGGACTACTTACACGACTTTTAAAAGGGAAAACCACTAAAAATGGCCCTGTTAGGAAGGAGGGGTGGTGGGCAGGGGCAGGGACTGCAGCTGCTCTCTGTTCTTCTGTGCATATGTCCCATTTTACAGACTTCAGAACCGGTCGAGTGTTTATTATATAATTACAGGACTTAATTTTACCCCCCCCCCCTGAAAACCGAATACACAATAAAGCAGGTGACTGTAAATGCATTGTGGCCGTGAAACAGCTCGTGGACCCCCCACCGCCAGGGGACACGGAAAGGACGTGAACGGGGACTCGCGGCCCCGAGTTTGGGCACTGCCGCCAGGCACGTGCTGCGTGTGGGGTCGCGCAGTGCGCGTGGACGACGGGTGGCAGGCGGGTCTGGCATCTCCGGGGCTCTGAGAACCCAACCCTTGGGCTGGGGAAAGGGGACGCCGGGAGACACAGGATGCGTCGGAAATGTTCGGCTGAACTCACGAGGTGGTCATGTTAGCATGTTCACCCGGCTCTGTCCATCGGGAAGGCCAGCGACAGTGACCAACTCGGTAGCTGTGAGCATGGGAGACACCGATGCTGTTCTAAAATATCCATTTCCACCGGAGGGAGCCCAGGTCCGGGGCCGGCCTGGGCAGGGTCGGCATGGAGTGGGCAGACCGTGACAACAGCCGGGGGGTGCTGAGAACACCGGGGTCCGACCAAAAAGGCCAGGAGCTCGAGAGGCTGCGCTGGCCAGAGACCAGGCGACTCAGGCCTCAGAGGGGCTGCAGGACACCGGTTCAGTCTGCATGTTTACGACACTAAGGGACACGCTGGTGAGCGGCTTGCTCCTGTGCAGCCCGTGGACCATGCGGGAGGCACACACGTTCTCGCCCGGGAGCGACTGCAGGGCAGAGGGAGGGACGCTTCTCTCAGAAGCGGCGGCCCAGCTGATGACTGAAGGGTGGCAGGCTGGGCTGTGTGGACCTGACGGTCCCTGAAGGTCGTGGGATGTGCCCGGTCACGGAAGGGCGGGCCACTGGCTAAGAAGTGGCTGCGGGCAAGTCTGAGGTTTAAACGGACCCGGCCTATAGAGCCCACCTGCGATTCATAGGAACCGGGCGGGAACGACCTCTTAACGGTGCCGGGAGGGAGGCCATCCACAAACCCAGCCCACAGGAAACCCAGCCCACGGGAAACCCAGCCCACGGGAAACCCTGCCAGGCAGACCGCTTCTCACCAAACTCTAAAACAGAGCACACAGAGGAGGCTACTTAGAAACACATCCAGCGTCTCCACGTGCGGCCTCCGCGAGGGCCGGAACACTGACCCCGAGGGGAGGCTGGGGTATGCTCTCGAGAGCGCCTCCACGAGCACTGTTTCTGGAGCTTCAAGGCAGAGCATTTCCAGAGGAAGCGACGTGCTGTCTGGCTGCACCTCAGTGTGGCCTGGGCGGGGAGCCACAGCTGGGTGCACATGAGGCAGGGGTGGCTGTGAGCCCACGGCCACACGAGCTGGCGATGGGACGTGAGGGGTGCCTGCGGGCCCCTCTGCTCTGCCGCGCACTGTGTTGTGTATCTGACGTTTTCTGAGAGAGGGACGATAGGCCTGGGACGACGGCATGGGTGCAGGCCCGTCTGCTATGTGCTCTCAGAGGTCGAGGGCGAGCTGCAGAGCACGGCTGGGTCTGAGCCGTCTCATGGGCACATCCCAGACGGTTGGGGCAGGGAGAGCCCGTGGCGGGACCCGTGGGGAACTGCAGGTGCAGCGGTTAAGGGGGCTGGAGTGGAAGCGACGGAGCCAGAGGCAGGTCCCCAGAACCGCCCTGCCTGGCACGTGGAGGACATCACCACTGTCGTGTCAGCTGAACCACCGACACGAGCCTCAGACCTGCTCTGGTCAGAGCAGGGGGCCCAGGGAGGAGGGGGGTGGGAACCGGAAGCCAGAGTCGCCGGTGCCGGGGAAGGGAGGAGAGCTTGCAGTCGTCTGCGAGGTAGAACCTCCCAACTGCACTGGGCTGGATGGCAGTAATGAGAAGAGACCCGCACGTCTGGCCCAGACGCCACTCAGGGCCCCAGCGCACAGAGGGGTGCCGCGCCCAGACAGAGGTGAAAGCCCCTCGTGCTCACCCACCCAGAGCTGAGGCCCCCGCAGAGGGTCCACGGCGCTACAGGAGGGAGAACTCACGGGAGACGGCAGGTGACAGCATGTCAAGCGGACCAGAAGCAGGACCGGGGTGCTCCCCGAACACTCACGGTCCCCCACCCGCGGCCCAGCCCTGACAGCATCGTCGCCGGGTCAGCCCCAGGTAGGGTCACGCTCCAGTTAGGTCCTCACCTCCTCCCCCGGTGAGAAGTTCTCGTGGCACAGAGGACAGCGGTTTGCCAGCTTCTCCGGTTTGGCGGCTGAAACGGCATCAGCGGGACAAGGCTCAGCTCCTCCCGAGACCTGAGCCAGGAGCTATAGACACGGGACGGGCCAGCGCTCCACAAGGGGCCTCCCCGGGCAGGGCCCGGGGCACAGCAGGCACCGAGGGGTCTGGGCGGGGCCGAGCAGGCACTCACGATTACAATCCTTTGCTTTTATGTGTCTGGGCAGCTCTTCCTTCAGAACAGCCTCATTGCAGCGGTAACACTTTCCAAACCCGTCTTTCTTGTCGCATTCGGTCAGCAGGTGCTCCGTCAGGCTGGAGATCTCGACCACCTGCATCCAGAAATGCAGAAGGAAGCAGGGTGCTGAGAGCACGGGGCGTGTGCGGCACCACCTTGCACTTGTTCCCCAGGGGCGGAACACGCACACCTCTTCTCTCACTCGGTCCTGACCCCACCGGCCCCAGGGGGCTTCCTCAGGTGCTCGCTATACTCTGCTGAAGACCCCGTGGCCCCCGTGTCTCCCTCCTCGTGTTATGGTGGTAGCGCACAGAGGACACTGCCAAGGTGGGGGACGGAGGAGCAATGGCTAACCCCCGCAGCACACGCAGGAAGCCGCGGAACAGCTTAGCCGTGTGGCCTCTGGGTTCAAATCCCGCCTCCCTGTTGCTTGTAAGAATGTGCAGAGACGGGGTCACAAAAAGACTGTTAGGAGAGTCTCTCACCACCCAGGCACGTTCAGCAGGAGTGACCACTATGCACGGACTCATACACCTGCTGGGAATCCAGCCACCAACACGGGCTGGGAGTTGGGGGGAGGCTAGAAGTCTGCACTGCCAGGCTGTGGGGGGTGGGGGGGGGCTCTGCCTACTTGAGAGCTGCTGTGTAGCCTGCAAGAGCCCCAAGGTAGAGGCCAGAAGTTCATTCTCCTCCTTTATTAAAAGGAAGGCCTTACTACATCAGAGAAGACATGCAAATCCGGGGGTGGGAGTTTTCTTAAACAAGATACACAACGCGTAAACCACGGGCAAGAAGAACAAGGTGGACAGCGTTTAAACTTAAAAGACACACTGGGGTGACAAACAGGCCAGACCCCAAGCGGGAGAGGGCAACTATGGCACCTGGGGCTGGCCAAGGACTCCGGTCCGTGCACCTGAAGCATGACTACAGATCAGTAGAGCGGGACCGGCAACGCAATTCAAAACGTGAGCAAGAGACTAGAAGCTATTTCACAAAAGAGGGCACTCGGGTGGCCAAGAGATGGATGGACAGGGGCCGCACCTCACTGTGGGCAGGAACCATGGAGCTGGCGAGGATGTGGCACAGCCCCCCACGCCCTTAAGACCCCTCCGGAGCACGGCCTGCGTCAGCCCCGCAGCCCAGTGCTGGCTCGCCCAGCCACTCTGCCCCCGGGGGTGCACCCAAAAAGGCGCGTTCGCAGGCGCACTGGGAGCGATACAAGAATGTCTGTGGCAGCGTTATTCGTGATAGGCTCTAACCGGACGCAACCTGAGTTCCAAAAACAGTAGGATGGAGGGATGAATCGTGGACTGCTCAAACAACGGAACACTATAAAGCTGGAAGACCAACCTGACATAAAGTAGGTACATTTTGTAGGGTTCTATCACGTAAACCCAAAACGCAAGCAACATTAACTTGTGGTGTCAGAAATCAGGACGGTGGGGTGACTCAGGGCGGGGGGAGGTGGTGCATTTTGAGGGGCCTGGGTGCTGGGGACACGGGTATGTTATTTTGTGGGGGCTCCACGGGCTCTCACACTCATGGCTTTACGGACGGGCACCTCCTGTCACGTGCTTCGCAGATGCCGCGTTCTCTGCAGACAGAGGGGCTGCGGCGACCCTGCACTGACGGGGTCATTCACCACCACCGTCCCGGCGGCATTTGCGCACTTTGCGTCCGTATCACGTTTTTTAATAATTCTTGCAACACGTCAAACATTTTCACTGTCGTACGTGTGACGGTGACCTGTGATCAGCGAATAGGACTTTGCCAGAAGCCCAAATGCTGGCCGGCGTTTTTTAGTACGTGTGTGATGCACGCACGTCGTTTTTTAGGTGCGGCTCACACACTGAACAGACCACAGGCCACAGCACACGTAACTTCCCTGCGCCCCGGGAAGCCACAAAGGTCACGTGACTCGCTTTCTTGCGCTCTGTGTGTTCCCGGGGTGGTCCGGAACGGAACCCTACCGCTGAGGTGCGCCTGCACGTTTACGTACGTGGGACACGGCTCGCTTAAAATAGCGGGAAAAAGTAAGAAAACGGGGTGACAGCCATTCAGCCACTTTCCCCGCGACTTCTGCCCGGGGAGCGCTACACGTGGGGCAGGTCTGTGACGGGCTGTGGAGGGACCGCGTGCAGCCGGGCGCCTGACCTGCCTGCAGCAGGTGCATCTTGTCAGCATGAGACACTGCTTCCAGTAGTGCAGGTCCAGGCCCTCCTCCGTGAAGGACTCACTCCTCTCCCCACAGAAGATACATAAACTGAAACGAGACAGGA